TGCAGTATGGGTGCTAGGATCTGCTTTCCTACCCGCTAGACAAGGCCGCAGCCCCTCTCCCTGCCTATGGCGCTCTTGGTTTCTCAGAGGCCTGCACACTCTCTGCTTCCTTCTGTGGAGGACCGCTCTGAACCCTGCATCAACCAGTGTGTCTCCTCCTGCCTGGGGCGGCGGCGAGGCAGATCTGAGGCATCTCGCTTGCAGTCTAGCAAAGTTCACATTTGCCGACAAGCCTCTTCCATGTTTCATCTACCTCCCTCCCTCTTATTCACACGACTTATGCAGTTGCTCAAGCATGAACCTTCCTGGCTACACACTCCACATTCCTCATGTTCTTCGTGTGTGTGTTCTCCATCTCTCATAGCCCTACCCGACTCTGCTAGGTCTCCCATCACCCCCCAGCCACTGTGATGCTGTTTTTAAAGGTATTAATTCAGTTCTATTGTCCCCCTGGGCCTCTGCTTCCCATTATAAAAGGAAAGCGATCCAAACTTCTGTGGGACACAAGGCACCCTGATGTCCCCCCTCTCTCTCTTGATGTCTCGTCCCACCTAAAGACTCCTCCAGGCTCCTGGAATGACCACTGCACATCCATTCCTGCCATCAAGTCTTTCTCATTTTCATGTTAAAAGCTGACATGTTCTTTCTCCAAATCCATAGTCACTTGGCCCCAAGTGCTTGAGATCACAGAGAGAAGAGTGTGACACAGAGAAGCTTCTTCAGGTCACAGAGAGAGAGGAAGGGAACATTAGGAACAAGATTAATGTCCTGCCTTCCAGACAATCACTACCTGCTGGAGTTTCCAGAACCTCCCAAAATTCGTTCTTTTTCTCGTTGCTATGACAGATGTCCTTCAGGAAGGAAGAGTCCATTTCCTCTCACAGTTTGAGAGTACTGTGCATCATGGTGCGAAGGCATGTCACCAAGAACACGAGGTGACTGGTCCTTGCGTCCAGAGTACTGTGCATCATGGTTGGGAAGGCATGTCACCAATAACGCAAGGTGACAGGTCCTTGCATTCAGACAGAGATGAGTGTTAGTGCTCAGCTGCCTTTCCCTTTTGTTTCCACCGAGGGCCCCACCTGTAGCGTGGTACCACCCCAGTTAGGCTGGATCCACTTGTCTCAGTTAACCTAACCAGAGGCTCCCTCCCAGATATGCTCAGAGGTACATCTCCATGGTGATTGTAGACCCTACCAAGTTGACAATTGGCATTAGCCATCACACCCCCATGGTAGCCCCCCCAGCTGGGGACCAAGTGTTTAACATGGCTGCCTGTGGAGGACTCAGCCAATGAAAAGAGGAGAGAGGTGGATTAGCCCCGATAGAAACTGAAAGCATCCATCTTTTGTGCTCCCCCTTCACACGGCGCCTTCCCACAGACCTTCCCACTATGACCCCAGACATAGCGAGCGCGTGGCAACCGACAGGAGCTGGAGGTGTGCTCCTGGACTTACTGCATGTGCTGTGTGCTGTGCCGTTCTCAGCGCTGAACATTCATCCATTTACACGGCCTCAACCCATGCTGAGGTCATCTTCTGGGACCTGCCCTTAACAGTCTATTTCCTCCAACCCAGAAATTTCCAGAACCTCCAGAAGAAGTATCACAAGTGGAGACATCTACTAAAAACAAAAAAATGCACAGAAGCCAACAACTGACTTTAGGGTCCATCACCATGCGTCTGGTACTTGGTGTCCACTGCCGTAGCCCAGAGCACCCTGGGCTATGTGAAACTGGACTCCCACTTTGAGTTTGAGCTGCCGCAGGCCACAGACAGCCCTGGCTCCCATGTCATCACATCTAACACCTCAGCCAGGCCTGCAGGGAAGAAGGAGCTAATCATACGGACAGATTTTAGTCATGGCAGACCTTCATTACCAGATGGTAAACTGTATTCTGTAGTGAAAGGAAATGGATCCAGGGGCATGAGGGAAAATGGTTCTTTGGTAAAGACGACTGTGGCTGGAATCTGTGAGGTAAACCAGGGGATAGAAGGCTGTCTCCTCTATCAGGTCAGGGAATATGAGGAATATAGCAAACCAAGGCAGGGAGGCTAATGTGGGCTAGGCAGAGGGATTGAGGCACGTATGACTAGGTCTTAATGTCAGCAGCCTCTTCTGGAACATTGTCAGCCCCTGCCATATCCACTTGGAAGAATAAGATCCTGAACCCTCTGCCTGATGCGTGCCTAATGGTTAAGAGCCAGGCCTGTATCCCAACATGAATGGGCCAGGAGCTACACCCCAGCATCTCACTGTCCCTGCTCCCAGCATCACGGATGCACAAAGAGCACAGACAGTGTCTTACCTCCCTACCTGACATCATCACCAGTGCAGAACAACAAATGTGAAGAGTGCCCCACAGAGTGCTCCTCTCCACAGCTCCCCGGAAAGCCGAGGCAGAAATATCCAGCACTGCAGACTTTAGTCGTGCAAACTACTAGTTGACTGCAGCCTGACTTGATTCAAAAGCCACTGCCAGCTGAGTGCAGAAAAGGAGCTCAGATTTAAGGGGTTCGTCCTAGGCAACCCTGTAAGAACAGGTGCATACATTAAATTAGGATGTGCCCTTACTTCTGGAAGCTTTCCAGCTTGCTTCAGGCTGAAGTGAACATGTTAGAAAACAGGAAGCCTACACCGAAAACCAGTAACGAAAGAAGCTTCCAGAGCCACCATGCTGGATTTCGAAATAAAACATTCACAGGACTGGAGGGGCAGGCCCGGCAGCCCAGCCACTCAGAAAGCTGAGGCAGGAGGGTACCAAGTTCGAGGTCAGCCTGGAGAGTTTAATGAAACCTCAAAATAAAAAAGTGAAAGGAAAACGGGGGGGGGGGGGGGAAGAACTCGTGCAAGACCCTATGTTCAGTTTCCAGTGCTATAAATAAAGGAAGTGGGAAAGAGTTCGTGTTTGTCCAGTACTGTAAACAAAGGAAATACAAGAGTCCATGTTTTTGCTTTTCTGTATTAAGCAAAACACCTTCTCTCAATATTTTTTCTAGAATTTCTTTTTTAAAAAAAATTTATTTATTAAGTACACAGTGTTCTGCCTACATGTATACCTGCAGGCCAGAAGAGGGCACCAGATCTCATTACAGATGGTTGTGAGCCACCATGTGGTTGCTGGGAATTGAACTCAGGACCTCTGGCAGAGCAGCCAGTGCTCTTAACCTCTGAGCCATCTCTCCAGCCCCTAGAATTTCTTTTAACAAAATCAAACAACAAACAAAACTAGCCCTATTTCCTGATCTGCTCTCTAGCTGGTGTGGTCTGCGTACCGTGAAGTCCAGGTCCAGATGCTTGGTGCATGGGCAGAACTGACGGTGGCTCTGCCCATAGGCTGCCTCAGTGTGATGACTTGGGAGCTGGGCCAGTCCCTGGGCCACTGAATCTTAAATTTGACTGCACATCAAAGTCACGAGGATGTACTTCAGAATAATTCTGCCTGGATCCCACTGCAGAGACTCTGGCTGGACTGATGGTCTAAGCATCAGGAATTTTGTAAAATTCCCCAGTCGCATTGCATTCTGAGAACCATTGCATGCACCAACTCTGCCCCCTCCCCTAGAAAGTCAGTGATGCACCCTAGGTCTGACTCATTGTGCCACAAGGCAACTCTACTAGTGTGTCACCATCACTCTGAGGCCCAAGAGAATGGCCAGAAATCCTCGCCCCTTCCCATCAGCTCAGACCTCGGCTCACTCGTGCCATGGCTACTGCTTGCTAGCCCACTGTACTGTCTCCTCCCTCAGTGTGGTCACACCTGTGGTGGCTACAGTCATCCTATCAGACTCTTGTCCCTCCTGTCCCTCTTCTCTGACCACACAGACACTGGACCCACCCTCAGCAGTGCTACCCCCTCCCAGACATCAATCAGTCAGTAACTCTCTGTGGCTGCCCATCTCCTCCTGCAGATCCTCAGAAACTGGCTCCATGTCCCTTCTTCATTGAGCCTCTGCTCCCAATAATCTTGTCCTTATTTCTCCACCTGCCTTGCCCACTCCAGATCCGGTCCCTCTCTGTGCTTTTATCTGTCCTTCCAGCTCCTCAGTCCCTTCGAACCCCATGAGCTTGGGTATCAGCTGAAAACCTCTTTTTAGGCATTTTGGCACATGATGTAACATAGATGACCCTTGAGGACACTGTGCTCAGGGAACTAAACCAGCCACAGAAGGACAGGCACTGCCTGGTACGTGAGCAGCCTCGAATGGACAGCTCACAGAGAGTTGATGCTCAGTGCTAGGTGCCAGGGGCTGTGTGTGGAGAGGTGTCGGTAGCTGTGCTTCATGGGCAGAGTGTCAGCTGGGGATGGTGGAAACATTCTGTGGGTGGACAGGATGGTGTGTAAAAGTGTTTGGTGGTAATGAACTGTGGATTTTTAAGTAACCAATGCAACTGCTTCTCACCCCTTTTGTAAGAAAGCTTGGCCTGTCCTGGCCTGGGCCAAACAGCCCACGACTTCCCAGATTCCCCACATCTCCACCTCGGGGTAGCCCTTGTCAAGATCTGAACTCCTTAAAACATAGTGAATACTATTGTCACATGACAGTACCCACCTACTGCCATCCAGACACACGACAGGCTCGGGCCCTCGCCACCCTGCTCCCTGAGAAAGCTGGAGAGATGGAAGGCTAGCTGTCCAATCCCTTAGCCTGCAGTTTAATCACCAGGAATAACCACATTGATGAGCTATCAATCCAATTCAAAGTGCCATTTTTCCAGTACTCAGGAGTATCAAGTCACACATTGTCCGATCATAACATAATTGCCGTAACATAAATTGACAAACGATGGTGACATTGGGCAAACTGCAGAGTTTGAATGTCTGATCAAGCCCTAACTATGGATTATGTTGCAGGGGAATCAACCACAAATGCTTCCATGACCACCTTTGTCAATAAAATGTACATAGCAAGGGAGCAAAAGCCCGGCAATTTCAAATTTAAGAACACCTAAGCCCACTCCTTGCCTAATTCTGCTGTTGTTTCTTCTTCCCAATTTAGATATTTATCTTTGAGAACAACATCTACTACTGCGCACACGTTGGGAAGCAGGCGATCCGAGTGGTCTCCACAGGGAAGGAGGGTGTGGTCTACAATGGCCTCAGCGACTGGCTCTATGAAGGTAAGACCTGCACGCAGAGATGCCGAGAATGTGCCTGCCCACAGGGCGGCTGCAGTAGTGGCTGCATTCGGCTTCTGAACCAGCCTTCTTTTCTCTTGGACTTTAGTTATAAATTTAACTTCAATTTCTTTAGAGCCTTTGAGCTTTAGGGAACAAACACAAAGTCAGCATTCATGGGTAGCAGGTGCGGGAATCACAGGTGGCAGAGGTGGACCCTAACAGGTGGCAGGTGTTGATACTCACAGGTGGCCAGGGAGAGGGGACTCACGGGTCCCAGGTTAAGGAGCTTCACTGAGCCCATTGGTGCTTCTATGAAAGGAGAGGTGCTTCATGGGGAAACTGTCTGAGTGCTCCCGATGTAAATGTGTGTGTTCCTCTACCCTCTCCAACAGTTAAGAAGCCTGTTTGCATCTGTGCAAAGTCAGCTGCTTTAGTTGCCTTGGTGACACAACACCTGACAAAGGCTACTTAAGGAGCAATTGTGTTGGCTCACAGTTTGAGGGGACAGTCCACCTTGGTGGGGGTAAGCATGGTGACAGCAGCATGAAGTGTCCGGTCACATTGCATCCACAGTCAAGACATAGAAGGTGAAGGATGCTGGCTCTAGATTTCTTCTTCTTTCATTCGGTTCAGGACCTCATCCTAGGGAATGATACCACCCACATTTGGGGTGAGTCTTACCCCCAATGTTAACCTAATCAGAGGATCCTTCATGGGTATGGCCAAAGCTTGTCCCCTAAATCCTGTCAAGTTCACAGTCAGTATTCCCCTTCACAGCAAAATTGGAAATGGAAATTAAACCCTTCTGAAGAGCCCATGCCCCTTGGGCTGCTATAACCAAAGGCCACAAAAATTGCTCTTTTGACATTGGTATCTGTGGTCCAGGTTCTTGGGGGTGCACCAGAGGACAGTGTGTGCCTGGAAAACCCCCACCTCCATTCACTGGCTCATTTCAATGTCCTCAAAGACCTCCTCTTCTTTTTTGGAAGCAAAGTTAAGAGTTTATTAAAATGTATTTTATTCTTAGAGAATTTCATACAGTGAGGTTGATCATATTCATCTGCCTCCTGTAACTTTTCAAGGTTCACCTTCCTTTTCCCTTCCCACCCAATTTTTGGGTTTTTTTTCCCATCAAGGCCAGTTGGGGCTACTCAAATATTATTGATGTGTGCCCTTCCACTGGAATGTGGTGGGCCTTCTAGGAGCTACACCCTTAAAGAAAACTATCTTTTCTCTGCCAGCACTGCATTCTGTAGGTGGAGACTGCTTGTTTGTTTCCCAGCCACTCAGACCTGAATAATCACACAGAAACTATATTAATTACAACACTGTTCTGTCAATGATTTAGGCATATTTTTAGCTAGCTCTGACATCTTAAACTGACCCATTTCTATTAATCTGTGTATCAGCGCGAGGCTGTGACTTACTGATAAAAGTCCTACATCTGTCTCCTTCGACAGCTACATGACGTCTCCCTGACTCCACCTACTCTCTCCCTATATCTATGTTCATTTTCTACCTGGCTTCACTCTACTAAGCCAAAAGATCTTCTTTAATAACCAATGGTAATAAAACATATTCATAGCATAAAGAGGGGAATCCCGCATCATCAGATTAATAGATAGTCTTCTATAATGATCAAACTTTTAGTCATGTTAGTTAGGTTCTTTAGATGCATAGAAATTATATTCTGCATAAATAGGTAATCTTCAACCACTTCAAAGAACTGTAGAATATGGCATTTAAATAACTTAGGATTCTGGTGACATGAGACACGAAAGCTCCTGGCAGCACCAATCTATTCCCAAGAAAATGTTGGACACCGAAGACACTTGGAGCTTGTTTTCTTCTTGGCAAAACTGGCTTTTGAGCAAAGAACTGCCCCTGCCTTGACCACTGACAAAATGCATTGTGTCTAGACTGGACAAGCAGGTTACAAGCAAAAAGACTGCCAAACCTTTGCAAGACAGGGTAAGATTTTTTTTTTTAAATTTCCCTGCCTCTGAAAATTGTCTGTCAGTTACTCTAGGCCTTAGCCAAAGTTGGTTGCCCCAATGTTGAAAACGAGAATTTGGGTGATTCCCCAGGTAGCCAGTTGTCTTTGTCATTTCTTGCACCTTTTGGAAGTTGCTTGATTGCACTTCCTGTTTACTCAGGTAATATTATTTCCCTTCCAAGGTCTTTGATGGGGTTGGAGACTACATAGTTGTAGTTGTTGTTACTTTCCTCTCATGACTTAGTCAAACCATTTCTAATATAAGACTTAGACTTCTTGGGATAGGATAACTATTGAAACATTTAGCATATGTTTCTTGCTTGATATTGTTCATGTTAGTTGTAATTCAAACTTTTATACTTAATATTTGTTCTTATTGTATGTAGTTTTGAATTGGGCTTAGAACTCTTATTTAGACAAAAGAAGGGAGGTGCTGTGGGAACTCCTCCAACCAATGGCCTTTGGGATGCTGGCCCGCTTTGGTTGTGGTCTTGTGTACTATTAATGCAGATGCAGGGGCATGTACAAGCCCCTTGGCTTCTGAATTTGGTTCCAGTTCCCCACTCATGCAGAGAACTGCTAATCACTACTTCTTCTGTGAGTCTACCCCTAAATAAATAGACCTTTATGATATTCCATTCTGAGCTAATGTGGGACTATTTTATTATAAATTGCAACAGCATTCTACCTCTCCTCCCTTGAATTCCACCCCATGGCCCCTTCCTAATTTCCTGAGCTCTGTGAGCATTCCAAATGAAACACATATCCCTAAAGAGTCAACAGTAATATCCGTTATATCACATATACAAGAAAAAACAATCTATGCTTGTCTATCTAGGTCTGAATGATTATTTCTAGCTCCATCTATTTGCCTGTGAATTTCATAATTTCTTTTTTCTTAATAGCTGAGAAATATCCTGTTGTGTAAATGTACCACATTTTCATTATCCATTCATCAGCTGATAGACATCTAGGTAGCTTCCATTTCCTGGATATTGCAAATAGAGCATCAATGAGCATGGGTGAACAGGAGGACATAGAGTCCTTTGGGCATACATCCAAAAGTAGTAGAGCTGGATCATGTGGCAGATCTATTTCCGGCTTTTTTAGGAACCTCTACACTGATTTTTATCATGTCTGTACCAGTTTGCATTCCTACCAACAATGAATAAGCATCCTAACCCCAGAGCATGCCAGCATTTGTCTTTGTTAGTTTTTTAGCTGCTAATTGCACCTATGAGGGTTCCATCTAGGGATTCCTGTACCTCCTGATACCATAGCCTGAAAGTATCATACTGCCACATATGAGTCTGACATACACACAGCCTGTGACACTTCCCAGCACTATGCCACAGATAGGGTGGGGGAGGTCCATGTGACTCAAGTCCAGGGTCAGCTGCTACTTTAGAAATATAGATGTAAACAACATTTAAGCTATTTAGTCTAGGGACTATTAGTCTAAGGACTGCATTAGTCTAGGGACAGCTCAAATACATCTTGCCTCTGAGGCTAAGACCACATGGCCACATATGGTGATCTACTTCCAGGTAGGTTAGGGAGAATCAAGGATGCTCTAGCTTCATGGGGGCTGATACCAGTTCCCCCTGGACCTATACATCTCTTAGATCTGGATTTATGCCTTATTGGAGCATATGGTATGGAGGGGAGATACTTCCCATCATAGCCCACTGAAATCTCAGGTGTTAACAGATTGCACGCACAGCCAGGTGTGCCATGCTCCCCAATCAGAATGCTGCACGTGCCTATCATTCGAGAGTTCCCTGGGCCCCTTTCTGGTCAGCTCCCCTCCCCACAGCACTCTCTTCTGGAGAGCCCAGCCGTCTGTTTCCATCTGACAGACAAGCTGAAACTTGCACATGCAGGCAAGGTGGACTCTCCAGCCAATCTCCTCGGGGCCCCAGTGCTACTCAGTGTTCAGATCACTCGTAAGAACCGAGTTTCCAGTTGCCCTCGGCGACCCAGGGCAGTCACCTCTGAGACTTAGTTTCACATGACATCCTGGGCCGTTCCTGAGGGGACTGGTGGAGTGAAAACAGATGCTGGGCGGACTTGCATAGACTTGGGTGTCCAGGCTTGCTGCGTTCGGAAATGGTTTTCCAACCCAAGCTCTTCTAGATTAGTCTGGAGGGGGCTGTATTTCTGCCCTGGGTGCAGTAACCCATGTGTGCCCAGTAGCCCACAAGAGAGGCCATCTCACATACCAGATACAATCAAGAGAGAGGACCCCGAAGTCCTTTGTTCCAGGATATAACCAAAAAGCCTTTGTCTGAGAAGCAACCAGAAAACCAAGCCCTGTTAGTGCTTGCCATGTGAGAGGCCTTACCAGGAATGTCCAGCTTGTGAGGACAGTCAGCACAGCAGCCCCAAATCATAAACATACTTAAACACCATGGCGTATTTTTAAGATTTCTTTGGTTGCATGACTGAGCGCAGATTTTCTGCATGGTAAATGAGTGCGCATGCCAGTCTCTTGCCTATGTGCCATGCCTTCCAAATCTGGATTGGGCTTGCTGTCTGACTTGCTGGGAAGTGATTAATAGCAGGGCTGGGGGTGGGGGCGGTCACAGAACCACACGTGAGGTCCATCCTGACCTTGTAAAGCTCTTACATCTCTATGAACAATCGCAAATAACACATTGGAGAAACCGAATGGAGTTGTGACCAAAACGGATTTGGCACAACATGACAAAGGGCATCCACTAGAGAGTCTTTACTTATGTCTTAAAAAAAAACCTGTTACATTAACCATAGCTGTATTAACTACTGTTTAATGTAGTCGCTCAAGTTTTATTGCGAAGGAAAGAACATAGTATCTGTTCTGATGCCATTCTTTTGCTATGATAAAACTCTGAGCAAAAGCAACTAAGCGAAGAGAGAAGTTTGGTGCCCATTGCTGAGGAAAGTCAGGACAAGAACTCAAGCGGGGACTTGAAGCAGAATCCATGGAGGAACACTGCTTGCAAGCTCACTTGCTGCCTTGCTA